ATAGTGAGTTCAAGGCCAGCCTGAACTACATAGCAAGACCCTGTCTCAAAAACACAAAAGAAAAAACGGAGAAAAGCAGCCAAATCGGCCTGTGGACCCGGAAGGACCTCTGGACTTTTCCAGCCTTTTCATGCCCATTAGTGCGAAGACGGCCAGGGCTCCCAGGAGCAAAGCAGGCTCAAGGCTCTGGCTCATAGTCCGTCTTCCACAGATGCTGGGATCAGCTTCTTCTAAAAGGAAGGGGAGGTTCCACAGATGCTGGGATCAGCTTCTTCTAAAAGGAAGGGGAGGGTGGTGTAGACGCTCCAGATAGACCAGGAGAGCACACTGCAGGTAGACCACAGCTGTCTCCCCGACACTGCCCTGGGCCACAGGGACGGGACCCTGGCCATATCTGAGAAGGCATTTCTTTCAGAAAAGGGTCGTTCACAAGCCAGCGTCTACTGATGGCCTACTTGGTGCTGTGCCTTGCAAGACAGCCTGAGGGGGCCGGTGTGCCTCGTGGCCCTGGGTGCGGGAGTTCGACTCTGGTGACGGGAGCTCGGCCCTCGGTGCTGGCAACCGCCAGGGAAGCAGAGCAAGGAAAGCTCTGACACCAAGGACCCCACAGGCTCCCAGGGTGGGGAGCAAGGCTGGCATCCTCCGGGGTCTCCTGGGAGGTGACAATCACAGGTCTTTCAGAACCACTCCGCAGCCTCACTGGCACCACCAGCCACGCCCTGGAACCTCATGGGTTCCCTCATCAGTTCAGACACTTGCCAAGGCCCTGGCTCCACAGGACACCCCTGAAAGGGCAGAGCGGCCTGTGGGCATGCAGGTGGCTGCGGGCGGTCCCCTGGCTCCCGGTGGTCCTGCATGACCACCTCGAAGGCGCCTCTGGGTCTTCTCAGAACCTCCTAAAATCGCCCCCCCAAGCCCCAGCTGAGACGGAAAGCCCCTCCACAGGCCCAGGAGAAAAGGACAAAACAGCAGGTGGGGCGGGAGTGTCTTCGACTCATAGAGAAACCTGAACAGGCTGCACAGCCCCACCCCAGGGAGCGGCAGGTGGCCACTGCGTGCCTGCAGGTGTGGCCTGTGTGTCCCATCTGGGACCTGAGTTCCCCCCAGGAGGTGGAGCCGCCACGGGGGACAGGTCTGACTCTGCAGCCAGGCTGCCTCCAGCCCAGTGCTGCAAAGGCCGGGCTGGCTGATCCAGAGAGCCCGTCACTGTCCCACGGCCACCTGCCTTGGTTACTTTTCTCTCACTGCTGAGGGAGAATGAAGGCAGGGAGCTCACAGTTTGTGGAGGTTTCAGTCCCTGGTCAGTTGGCTCCAAGGCAGGGTGGCGGTGGCTGAGGAGCAACCCTTCGCAGCGGCAGAAGACAGCAAAAGCAACCAGAGCAGAAGAGGGAGCAAGTGTCTTTTCCCCCCTTAGATTGTATGCAGGCCACCACCACCAATCCCAGCAGGAGACAATGAACCAATCACAAACTCTAGATACAGCCGCCTCTGAAAAGCTCGCCCCGCCCGGCTGCTGCGGATTTGGGGGGACATCCCGACACAAACTGTAACACCACCTTCCTGCTAACCGCATGGCACTGCCTTCCACCTCAACCCTTTCTTGGGCAGCCTGTGTGCTCCCCACAAACAAGGACTTCAGGCAGACAGCCCAGTTGGGCAGCCTGGGACAGAGACTGCTATCCCACTGGAGGGCAGGTAAGACCTGGTCCAAGATGGGACAGTGTCCCTGGGGACAGTGGCCCAGGACACCCCTGCCCAAGAGCAGAGGAAAGGGACAGACAAGAGGGCAGGGGGCTGGGGATTTAACTCAGTGGCATAGCGCCTGCCTGGCAAGTACAAGGTCATGAGTTTGATTCCTGGTACTGGAAAAAAAACCAAAAAAAAAAAAAGAGAGAGAGAGAGAGAGAAAGAAAGAGGGCAGGTGCGGGGTGCCCGGAAGGGGCTCAGCAGCCGCCCTCTGCATTCCTGGGGGGCCCGCCCCCGAGGCCAGGCCTGCACCCATGCGGTGGAAACCAAACCAGGAGGCACAGTTGGGCCCAGGGTTGGAATCTTGAGTCCAAAAACGCAGCTACTGGCCAGGGCCGAGGCTCGGCAACCTCAGAGGGTCAGCAGGACCGGAGCACAGGCCTGGAGAGGTTGGGCCGCCGACTGTGGGGCGATGCTTGGACAGGCTGGCTCGCTGTGACGTGGACACACAGAGAAGAGACGACTGCCACCCCTGGGGTCGGCGGGGGAGGAACAAACAGCGCCCTGGAAGAGGGTCGGAACCGCAGTGTGGATCCGGCACACTGGGCCCTCTGCGAATGTGAGGCTCACGGCTCATCTCCAAGGACCAAGGGTCCCAGCACCCTAGCGCCACCCTAGGGAAGGTGAACTTTTGACAGATGTAACTGCACCCAGGCCGGGGGTCCCCCGAGGTTCACTTGTGCCCTTTCCCAGCCAACCACCACCCGCCCTCAGTAACCACCTTCTTACTCTAAATCCACAGGTGGCGTTTCCCGAATCCTAGAAGGTGACAGAATGGAATGGCATGGTGTGCGCGCTTCTCTTGGGCTCCTTCCAGCAGGGGATGCCCGCGGCTCTGCCTGTGCCGCCCGCCGCTCCTAACACACTCCTTTCAGTTAGACGCCGCAGCCCCGTTGGAAGGCCCGCAGCTCATTGTCTCTGCTCTGCTGGTGGCGACCTGGGTCGCTTCTGGTTTGGGGCCACTCTGAAGGCAGCGCTGTGAACCCTCTTGTACCGTCCTTGGTGGACTTAGGCCTCATTTCTCTTGGGTCGTGGAGTAGGTGTTTATCTTTAGTGCTGATAGATATTGCTGAATAGACTCAAAGCTGAGGGGGGATTTTTTACATTCTCAAATTTAAAAGAAAAATGGAGAAAATAACGAGATATTCCTTAAACTATTCCCTTAAAGACAGATACTTTCCATAAACCCGGAGCACACGCCGCCACCCAGCCCCAAGGCTGTTCCCTGATCCTTGCCCCACTTGGGCAGCTGCCCTGGCAGCCCTGCCCTGCGTCCCTCAGCGTTTCACGGGTCGGAACAAGCTCGGCGCTCCGGGCGCGGCGGCCCCTGCGCGCGTTCTCTCCTCGCTGCTGGCAGGTGGCGCGGCCAGACCCACCCTGAGACCCCGCCCAGGGAAGGGGCAGAGGCAAACCGGCTCCTCCTTCACACTTCACGCCTCACAGTCTGGTCTCAGAGAGACTTTGGAAAGTAGGCCAAGCAGCTCCTTGCCGATCGGTGTTGAGAAAGGACCATAGCCTTTCTACCTGGGAGGAAGAGGCAGGAGGGTCCCGAGTTTGAAGTCAGCCTGGACCACGTACCAAAACCCTGTCTCAAAAAAACAAAAAAGTACCCAGAGTTTCTGACCGCATCGCTGCGCCAAGGCTCCTGCCCTGCGCTCTCTGCCAGGTGTCACCGTCCCCTTCCAGCTGGGCTCCGCCTGAGTCCCTGCTCTGCTGCCGTCACCACGGGACTGAGCACTTGAAGGGTGGGGCCCAAGAGCAATGGCTCCTGCTGCCCCACCCCAGGCCGACTCGCAGGCCGAGGAGGCCGCTGTGCTCACTGCTGAGTTACAGGGATCCACTCAGGGATCCACGCGCGCGGCACAGCCTGTGGCCAGTCGCCGACCAACACTGGCACCGCGGCGAAGCTTCCAGCACACGCTCCTTGGGTGCACTTGCAGACTCGGAGGCAGAGGTCTGCAGCACGGCACCGCCGCTCGGTGACTTCCCCAGGTGGACGCTGAGGGTCACTCCTGCGCCCCTCCGGAAGCCGGCGCCAAAAGCCAGGGGCTGCTGGGGCAGGTGTGCTTCACCTCGGGGCTGACCGCCGCCGGCGCTCGCTTCGCCCCGCAGCCGGCCTGTGGGCGCGATGTTTTGAGGCTGCCAGCTTCCCCGGCCTCCAGCCCCTGCATGCCACGCCTTCGGATAGAGAAACAAAAACTCCAGACAGTGGCCAACGTTCCCTGGGGGGCAAAACACCCTCCCGCACCCCCGCTGAGAACCCGAGCGCTAGATAAAGAGCAGTTCTTAGAAACACGGCGGCCGGCCCCTCTGAGCTCTGCAGTACAGCACCGGCAGGCCTCCCACAAGCGGCCCGCACTATAATCCCGGCAACTGCGCAAACCAAAAGAGCCCCACTGTTTACTCCGGGGAAGAAAACCGAGAGAAAGAACACTCAGGAAAACAGCGGCCGGAGAGCGTGGAGCTAACAGCAACAACGAGGACAAACCGTCTTGGGAAGTTCCTGTTTGTGCGCTGACACATCAGCCGCGGTCTCCCACACGGGTGACTCAGACGCCAAGCCCAGGCCGCAGCGCACTGCTTGGGGTCCTAACCCCGAACCTCGAGTTCTCGTAAGCGGCCCCGAGCCCGTCCTGCTCGTCCCATGAAAGCGCACACACATACACAGCTTCACCCCACTGCTTTATTAAGCCAACCGTTTAAAATGTACGATGTTCTGGTGTTTTTAATTTTCTTACTGGCTCATTTACTAAAAAAAATACAAAATATTTTAATATGTCTTAGGAAAATTAGCAAAAATTTAAGACAGTTGAGCATATTGCATTATACAATTTTTAGATAAGAAAGTTTGAAAACTATAAATATTTTGGTCCCTCAATATTGCAAATCACAAAAACACATTTTTGAACTTTTTCATGCATAATTCCTGTAAAGAAATAGATCCCATCCTATCTCGATTTATTGAGGAAAAGGGCTCGATTACGATAAACACTCCTGAAACCTGCTGTACAGTAATTACAAGAGCTACGAGGGCTCTCCGGGTACTGTACTCCGGCAGCTACACCGTTTTCAGTACTTTGAGGAATTCGGTTAGTATCGAAACGTCGTTCCACCACAGTTCATTTCTGTGCGCTGTCTTTTCTACCTGCTGTGTGAAGAGATTTTGCCCCCTGGAGATGGCGTCACTGAAGCCACAGGATGTAAAACCAGAAGCAGCGAGCCCTGAACAGACGCCTCTGACAGCCACGGCATGGAGCGCGGTCAGGTCAAGGAAGCCGCCACCTCGGCCGGAAGCCTGGGCCCAAGAGTGAGGCCGAGCTGTCCAGCCGGATGTCCCGAGGGACGTTCACACCTCACCCTCCCGCCATGCTGTCACAGACATCACCGGCTTGTGTCTCCTGTCCTTCTATGAGGGACCACGGAGTCCCCTGGCGTGACGTGGAACAGAGCCACGGGCAAGTTCCACTCTCGGCTGATCTAATCAATACACCTGCCAGCCACTGAATAAAATGATAATACTGTTACGTGGCTGGTCAGAAACCAACTCCCCGAATTCACCGTTCAGTTTGGAAGGCACATGACAAAGATATGTCAGAGAAAAATCTGAACTTTATAATGGCAACTATAAGACGGCGTTAAACTACACTTTTAATTAAACAGGTAAAAACCTTAAGATAGATTTCTAAACACTACTTCATTGGCAAATATTTTCCAGTCATAGAAGGTGAGGATTTGTGGAATTACATTCCAGTTTCCTCCCATGTAAATAAATACCTGCCCTGAAATCTCTAAAAGCAGACAGCGTAGCCGCGGAGCTCCCACTGCAGCGCTCCCGTGGGAAGCGCCCCCTTACTGCTCTCCTGCGAGCGAGGTCAGGACGCTCGGGGCTCGGTGCTCGCGGACAGGACCGGTGCCTTCTGCCAAATTCTGCCTTTTGTGTAACCGTGGAATCACCCCGTATTTCTGAACAACTATATGCATCACTGCTGTCCAGGAAGTTATTGCTGCTTCTAAGTAACTAGTTTGGGAAGGCTTCTTTTCCTAGTACTGCAATCCAAAGATACACACGACAGCTTTCCCAACACTTCTTTCAAGTCAGATGCACAGAAACTCTGATCCCAACTTTCCTGTGACGCTCATTTTTATGGGTATTTCCTCCCTGCCACCCGTGGGAGAGCAGAAAAGCTGCCCCACTGATGAGCGCCAGCTCCACGGCCCGGACAGTGACAACCTCGTCTTCAGGACGCCCCGCCTCCCTGCAGCCACACGGTCGCTTCCCGCTGCCCAGGAGCACATAATCTGCTTTACAAATTGTCCAAGTAACTTTTATTTCAAACTGGCTTCCTTCTACTACTGAACGTGACCCTCCCGCTGCGTGGCACAGGCCCGACAGCCTGTTCTCCCTAGATAGATAAAGAAGACCCCAGAGGCCTGGCTGAGTGCGCCCCTGGATGTCTTCCTCGAGGGTGGGCAGGGGAGGGAACTGGAAACCACACACCCCAAGCCACGGCCTGGGGCGAGGAATACGTGGGCAGACAGCCGGGAAAGCTCCCCTGCCCGATCATGCGCTAGTAGAAGGGTGAGCGGGGAAAGCGGTTCCAGGACGTCTCGGCGGCGGACTGGCCGGTCTGTCTCGCTGAATTGGGCGCCCAGCAGAGGAAAGGAGCAGCCAGGAACCAGGACACCCGGGCCACAGAGGCGCAGACCGTCCAGGCCGCAGCTGACTGTGCTCTGTGTTCGCCTCATTCCAAGGAGAATCTCAGCTGCACGGAACTGTCAGAAGCCCAAGGTGTCAAAGAAAGAGGAAAGAAGCGCCTGACAACACTGACTTTTTTCTTTGCGGGGAAGCCCTCGCGGATGGGCAGGCGGGCAGACAAGGCCTCCTTAGGGGCTGGACCCCGGGAGAGGCGCGGAGGGGAGCAGAGCTCGAAGCAGCAAAGCCGGGTTCTTTCATCTTCAGCAGAAAGCTCTGGGGCCACACTGGTATGTACACGCGGAGGGGACGGCGGCCTGGCTCGGTCACTCCGTGGTCTTCTTCCCTTTCCAGTTCTTCTCCCGCTCCTCCAGCTCTGCCTGGGTGAAGGCCGCGGGTCCCCAGTTAGTGATGAGGTGAGGATTCTTGGAACCTAGGAGACACACAGGCCCTGAGCTCAGGAGGAGCCGCGCCTCGCCGTGCACCGCCTGTCCCACGACAGGACACCAGCTCCTCCCCTTCGTCTCTGCTCAAGGAGCACCGGGCAGGGGCTGGGGATTTAGCTCAGCGGCAAAAAGCGCCTGCCTGGCAAGCGCAAGGTCGTGAGTTCGGTTCCCAGTACCGGAGAAAAACCAAAAAAAAAAAAAAAGAAGAAGCACTGGGCAGAAGGACAGAAGAAGCCCACGCAGGGGCCCTGGGGCCTCCTAGCGACAGGAGGGCGGGCTGTTAAGAGAAGTTACCCTAGGCAGGTTACTCATATGTGCAGGCTTAAACAGGTGGTCTGTCTGTTTTTATGTACAATTCAAGTACACAAAACAAAAATAAATTTAAAAATAAACGTATGATTGCTCCCAAGAATCTATTACCTGGTTCTATCAATCGAATCAACCCTTCGTGATGGGCCACTTTGTCCTTCCAGCTCTTCGTCGTATTAGTTGCCATCTCCAGCTTCTTCTTAACTCCCTGCAACGAAAGTGGACTTTGGACTTTGCAGGCCAAGGTACTTTAAGAACCAAGTAACAACGATGGCCATTTACTATGTGCTTGTTTACAGCCTCACTGAATCGCCACAGCCTCTGTAAGGTGTAGAAGCTACTACTGCTCCATTGTACAGCAGGGGAAAGTAGGGTTCAGAGAGGTTAAGAGCCTGCCCGAGGCCACACAGAAGGAGGCAGCAGAGCCCGAACTGAATCCCTGGTTCCAAAGCCTGTCCTTCGGCCACGTTCATGGCCGCAGAAAATTTCGTGTGCCGGTTATATTACCCTGCCCCGCACTGCAAATCAGCCACCCACAGAGCTGCCTGTGTTCCTAGGGCAACTCTCCCTCCCTGGCTGGAACCAAGAAAGCTTTGTCGGCGGGTGCTGAAAAGCACAAGCAGGGAGGAGTTCTCTCCAGATGCCACTTAGGCTACTCATGTTCATCACCCCGGGGGCTTCCATGGCACCTAGGGGACAGCGTCTGCCAGTAATCAGAGGGCAGCCTGCCAGGCACAGGTTCCGGCCCAGGACCTCAGCCACTTCCCTGCCGCCTGGCCCTCCAAGACCACCTGGGTCAGACTCCACGCACCTCAGTCCTGCCAAAACCTCCTCTGCCTCCTTCCCCACAGCTTCCTGCTGCCGGCCGGGTGCCTGTTCTGGGGGGCACAGTGTGTCTAAGGGGTGAATCCAGGGGGGCACAGGGCCCGCCCACCTCATACTGCTCCAGCGCCTGCTTCCGCTCAAGCTCCAGCTGCGCCAGCTGTGCCATGGCCTCCTGCAGCGCCTGCTCCTTCTCGGTGCGCTGGTGCTCCAGCTCCTGCTTCTCCGCCTCCGTGGTGGCGATGGCCTGCTGCTGCACCAGGTGCCACTGCTCCAGCTCCGCCCTCTTGGAAGACTCTTCCTCCAGCAACCTGCAGTGTGGGGGAGACTCGGGGTCACAGCCTGCCCAGGCAGACGAGGGACACGTTTTGGAAGAGCATGTGACCACCTAGTGCCTCCCATTTTACACGGAGGGAAGTGGGGGCCACAGACGCACTCCTCGAAGCGTTGGGAAGTGACCCGTATGTCCTGCACCCACTTCAGTTCCGCCCCACTCTGAGGAGGAACGGAGGGGGAGGAGACAGTATTTACGCCAACCTGAAAGCGTGCCAGGACTGAGCTAGTGAAGGGTATTTCCTCCATCAGCCCCCTCAGTAAACTTAGTGCTGTCACCTCTTCACACTTCAGTGATACGGAAACTGAGTCGCAAAGGTTGTGACCTATGCTAGATCACTTCCTCTGCCCGGCAGTGGGGCCAAGTCTTGAAATTTGTCTACCTGCAGTAATATTAAAACACTTTTTCACCTAGTAAAGACCTGTTACCAAGGAAAAAGCTGACAAAGTAATGAAGACAAAGGGAGAAAAAGCTGACACAAAGGAGAACAACACGTTATTTACTGAGCAATTGCTAGGTGCCAGGCACTTGAACTCCATTACTGCTAATCCCCCAGTGATCCCGAGCGGTGTTATCACACGTCAGCGATGAGGCAATGGAAATCCGCGAGATTTGAGTAGGGCGCCCAGGTCAGAAGGGGTCTCAACCCTGGTCTGCCTGTCTCCAAAATGTTATCTTCACTAACTGCCTGCTTATCCAACCATGCGAGTGTATAAATCAACAACCCGCGCCCGGCCCAGGCCTGCAGTAGAACACAGGTGCAGTGGGCGGAGATCAGCCCCGCCAAGGACAGGTCGGTCCACGAGCACAGAAGGCAGGTCCAGGACAGGTCGGCTGCCCGGACCTACAGGAAAAGGAGAACAGCAGTGGAAGAGCCGAGAAGCGGACCTGTAACTCCCAAGGGACCCCAGCTCCCGCACGGGGGCAGAAGTCCTCCCGCTCACCTCAGAGGTGGCTCCAACTCTAGGTGATTGGGATTGTCACTGTAAGCACGGTGGGAAGGGCTTACTTCTCCCTCTGGTAGAAAAGTCAGGGGAGGTGGGCAGTGGCTGGGCTGCCCGGCCTCTGAGTCCCTTTGCGTCCCAGGACTGCCCCACAGCAGGGATGCTTGGCAGCCAGGGCACGGGGCAGCAAGAGCTGAACCTGGCTGAGCAAAGGTCCTGTGACTCCAGGGTGACTGACACAATGCATCAGAGACAGTGGAGAATGGATCTTGCTGCTGGCAGCAATACCTGGTGACAGCCAGGCCCGACGGATGCCCCCACCGCCTGGCCAGAGCTCCAGGCTGGGCTGCCGCCAGACTCTGTAGAACCGGGGAGCCATTCACGAACTTTCCAGTAAACTGCTTTATTGCTTTAGGTAGTCCAAGGTGGCTTCTGTGGTTTGTCTGCAAACAAACCTGAGCGAAGACCTCTGCAGATCACCCTCTGTTCCTCACCTTCCTCATTTATTTAAAAAAAAAAGGAGAAGGTGCATAGTAGCAGATTCCTGTCATCTCAGCTACTTGGGAGGCTGAGGCAAGAGGACTGCTTGAGCCCAGGAGTTAAAGCCAACCTGGGTAACATAACAGGACCAGTTCAAAAAACAAAAAAACACAGACACTCTATCCACCACCAGAACTTCATATTAAATGGGCTAATTCATGTAAAGTACTTTCCTACCTAATAGCAAGGACTGAGTAAATAACAGCTCAAATCGTTACAGCAGGGCTGTTGCTTCATTTGCATTGGACACGGCACATTCTAAAGCAAAGTGTGTAAGGGTTTTGGCAATCACATCACAGGGCAGTGAAACCCTGAATCTTCCCAAACGAACAGTTATGGAGCCAAGTCTCCTGGATGTGGTACTTGTTCTTTGGATACTTTAAACTATTTTCACGGTCTCAAACTTTCTCATTCACTGATGTCTTTTTGAATGCTCGCTGTATTTCAAAATTCTATACATGTCTTTCCCACCTGCAAAGGAGATGAAGGAACAAAGCAGCGCGGTCTGCGACTACCAGATGCCGGACAGCGCTCGAAACACCAGGCCCAGGTCCTCCCATCTTTACAACCCTACGAAGCTGGCAGTTACCTCTACTTCACAGATAAGGAACTGAAGGCCCAAAGTAGTGAAATGCTTTTGTAAAGTTACATGGCCAGAAAATGCCAGGCCTCGAGTACCCACACCTCCCTCCAAGAGCCCAGCACGCTTCAGAAACGTGAACAGTATCACATCGCAAGGCAGAGACTGCGGGTCCCCGTGGCCTGAACAGGTTGAACCTGGATCCACCCACTCATTCAGAAAATATTCCTTACACATCCACCATGTGCCAGGCGCAGAAAAAAGTAAGTAAATTAAATGTGAATGAAAAAATTACCAGACCAGATGACTCAAGACGAACTTCTTGTATTTAAACAACTACTGCAAAATCTATCTCTGGAGAACCTTCCAGCACTCACAGCGAAAGGACCGTGCATTAGAAGGACACTGAGGTACAAATATCCCAAGACCTACCACTACTTTAGGAGAGGCTCGAAGAGAGTTCCCTGCAAGCCCATTGCATTTACCTGAGCCTGGTTTCCTCCCCTGCTGCAGAACCAGCTCGGAGCTGACTTCTCTTGCTTCTGTTGCCCTCTGCCAGTCTGGGGTTTTTTTTGTTTTTTGTTTTTTTGTCTTTTTGAGACAGGGTCTCCCTATGCAGTTCAGGCTGGCCTTGAGCTCACTTTATAGCCCAGGCTGGTCTCAAACGTGCAAGGATCCTCCTGCCTCAGCCTCCCAAGTGCTGGGATTATAGACATACACCACCACGCCCGGCCCCTCTGCCAATCTGACTCAGTGACTCTCAGAGCCAGGCCAGGCCAGGCCTCTGGGGACTCTGGGAAAAAGAGAACTTGCTACACTTAAAAATGACCACTAGATGGGGCAAATTTGTCCATTTCAAGTTCTGAAAGCACAGAATACATTTCTGAGTGAATAAAAGGGCTTTGAACCTATTGTTGTAGCGCACACATATAATCTCAGCACTCAGTAGGCTGAGGCAGGAGCATAGCCATGAGTTCAAGGCCAGCCTGAACTACACAGTGAAACCCTATCTCAAAAAGAACAAAAAACAAAAAAATTCTGGGTGAAAAAATGTAGTTCCAAAAGCTTTTAAAAGTACAATTTTAAGTAGCAATTACTGAAGGAGTGGCGCTAACCCTGAATAACCAAACAGAAGCAGCACCCTCTGAACCTCCAGGACACAAGGAAAGCAGCACTAAGAGGGAAGTTACAGCTGTGAGCGCCAATCTCTGAAACAGAATGAGCCCAAATAAATAACCTAACAACGGCCAGCCGCCGCTGCTCAATTGAGAACTATCATGACACACAGAAACAAT